CTTGCCATTAGCTGGGCTGGTTTCCTAAAAGCGGTAAAGGGAGTGGAAACAAAGTGTTTTAAACCTCTTATAATGGCATAGTTATGTTCTATTAAAATAAGAGACCCCAAGACTCAGCAGAGACTTAAACAGAATCCAGCTGGGCTGGGTGATCTATCCTTGAGCAGACCAGGCAGAATGACACCTTGTGGCTAATGGGATTTGCCCTCGCAAGTGTTAAGATAGGGATCTCAAACTTCAACCCAAAAGTCCTGCGCAGTAACTGCTTTATTAGCCCAGGGACTGCAAGACTGAAGCCTTTTCATGCACTGCTACAAAGGTGTCTAATGAGACAAAAACAATGAGCAGCACGATGGTACCATTATAATTCTATTCAATTTTTTAAAAATCAACCCTACCCTAAGTCACAAATCCTACGTATGAAATCCAGATCTGAACTGGACAGCAATTGCCCCCGTATATCTACATTTAATCTCTCGAAAAATGTTCTAATTCAGAAATGGTATATTTAAACAGATTAAACAATGTGCACTTCCTAACTGGCTTTGTGAGCAAAAATGTGATTAGGGAGGTTAGGAACTACATAAAGCACCAACAAAGGAAAGCTGTTTAGAAGAGGCCCCCTTTAGTTCCAAGGAATGACTACTGTACAGTGGCTTCTGCCCTCCTCACCATTGGATTAGGCTACTGCAACACACACTGCGTGGGCCTGTCTTCAAAGATCACTCAGGAGCTTCAGCTGATGCAAAATACAGTGGCTTGGATACTCATGGGTGCTTGCTAGTGGACACATACCATGCTCCTTTGTAGGCCCAGTACGGACTTCCAGTTAGCTTCCAGGTGCAATTTAAAGGGCTGGTTTTAACATAAAGCCTTTTATGGTATGGCACTAAGTTGCCTACAGGAACGCAACTCTTCGCTAGAGTCAGCCCAACCACTTTGGTCAATGGCAGAAGTAGGTAGTTATTCCCCATTTTTGGGAGATGGGGGCCAAAGCCTAGAAGAATTATTTGTGTGTTTGTGTGTGTGATGGGGCATCCCATTAGAGGTTGGTTTGTCTCCAACGTTATCTGATTTCTGGAAAAAGCTAAAAACAGCTTTTCTGGAGGGCTTTTGGGGTCTGATGCCAGGTATTGTTTTGGGTTTAATATATTTTTTGTTATGATTATAATCTGTAATCGTGAGCTACTGGGAGTCTGTTTTGATTATGGCAGGCAGGGCCAGTTCTGGGCCTAGGCAACCTAGGCAGTCTTCTAGGGCACCAAATTTTAGAGGGCACCACAATTGAAAAGACTTCTGAAGTACACAATATGAGTATAAAATCTGATAATCTTCCTATGCTTTTCAAAATCACCCACAAAGTTGGTCAAGTGGTAGTGAACAGCACTCTAACCAGATGTTGCAAGTCACAAGAAAGAAATGATTATTACAGCTAAGGACCTCAGGAAGCTGATAATATTACTGAAGCAAGACAAAGGGCTGATAAGAAGGTACAGTACTGAGTGAAAGAGTCGTGTGACTATCAGCTTATCAAAGCTATACTTGGAAAAGCAGTAACGGTGCACTCTGTGCATCAGCACCCCCACTTGAAGGTTAAATATACAGTAATCATAGGGGGAAGCAGAATATGACTTTGCCTAGGGGGTTAAAATGTCAAAAGCCAGCCCTGGTGGCAGGATATAAATCTGTTAAATAAGAATGCACAGTATTCCAAGGAATAATGGAGTGCTTTCTGAGCTAAGCTGCCTTTAGTGCTAGTTCCTCAGGGCGCTGTGGAAGAGGTATCAGAAGTGGGCAGGACTGAGAGAGTTCAGGAGTGTTTGAGCACTTGGGGCTCAATCCAACTTACTTTGCTCAAAGACTCTCATGTGCTGTGGGGTGATGCCAACAGACAGATTAAGTTGCTATGGCCAGATGATGCAGAAACTCTCTCAGTGCAAAAAATGACAATCAGATGTAAATCAATTTGTGCTTTAAGATTAAGAAAGGGAAGGAACCATGGGTAACTGTGGAAACAGGTGTCCATACGTCTGTGTGAGAGGAAGAGTTCTGGCTTTGTCCCATCCTCTGCTTTTCTAGACAAAGTTCAACAACTGGTTTGTACAACCTGGACTGTATCAGCTCATAAACTGCTCTGGCTGACAAGTATTGTGGGCTGTAGAAAATGACTTGGATGGCTGCATTCAGTTACGCATGTGTAAGTGTTTGGTTTTATTCTATTTTTACTGAATTTTTACTGTATTTATTGTATTTTAATATTTATTGCTGTTTTATTGTGACCCGCCCAGAGTCACTTTTTGTGAGATGGGCAGTATCTAAATTTGAAACATAAAATAAATAAAATGTTACAAATAACCAGAACATCACAACACGCTTTGTCTGGCATCCCATTTAATTTATTTCAAATTTCTCAGAGTTTAGCAATCAAACAAAATAAAGAAAACAAAGCATTGTGATTTCTAAACAGGAGTACATTGTAAGCATCAGCTTTCAATGGCAAGGTTTACATGGAAAGTATTTGAATTCTTATTTGATGGGTATCAATAGAAAATGGATAGCACCAATTATTATTATTTTTTTCAATTACTAAATGTTGCAGTATGAAAACTGGATGCCTCCCACAGGAAAAATAAAACAAAACAGCAATGTTGATTTATATTCCCAGAACATGAGGTGTTTTGATTTCTCAGTGTTTTTATCATCACCATAGTTCTAGGTTTGTTCCTGAAGAAGAATCTACAGTTAAATGTATAAACTTAAGGGGTAGGTGATGTTCCTCTTTAAGGCACCGATACTAGCTTCTAAATTGCTAAGTAGATTGGAAGTGGAAAGTAAATAAAAATGAACATTTTTGTTTGATGAATTTGGGTTTGGAATATGCCAAGCATAAATGTTTAACAAGTCACAAATGACCAAGGTCGCCTGATGGAGAATAATGGTTCTCATTCACTGTGATGAATAAGAAGGTACCATCTTTTGTCACAATGGTGTTATTCTCGGTACCATATAGTGTGCCTGCTGGGAGAACGTCTCCAGTGCAACTTGAGATTTACTCCATCACATTCACTTACAGCATCACCTTTTTTTCACAGAATCTTTTGTCCCCAAAAGCATATAAATTCTTTAGCATGTATCTGCTTTCCTACTGGGAATATCCCAGCATCTACAGCTTGCTCTAGAAAATTATTTCCTTGTCTTGTCCTAATATTTAAATTTCAACCCCTTTCCCTCTACCAGTCTCTGTCTTGCAACATGAAACATTAATTCTTATATTCTCTCTTGGAGCAGGTGTGTATACGTACCTGCATTTGGGCCTGAGGTGATGACGTTCTCAGTGATTCACAATTGTCCCCCTCCTTTTCACCAGAGATTGTGGAAATGGAGAAGAAATATGACTATATACTTCAAACTACGAACTGCCATACTGCAGTTGAACTGCAGCGCTGCCATTGTTTTGGCAGATAGAAAAGGAAGGGGATTCTTTCAAGGTATCAACTATGACAGAGTCACAACAGCTCTGTGTATGAAAAGGAGGCAGGGAAGTGGCAGGCTGACCTCTACTATCTCAACCAGAGACAAGCCCAGTTGTCTTTCTGCTGTCATCTTTCTGCTGCATTCTTACAGAAAAAAGATGGAAATGTTTCTTTTTTGCCTTCCAATATACATATGGCATTTAAAAAAAAATAAACACACACAAAATCCCCCAATCTTCAACAATTACACTAATAGCAACTGCCCAGTAAATATAAATTGGCATATATAATACAAGAAGACATAGTACATGCAACTGCTTCTCATTTTTTCAACATCTGCATGGTCCACACAGAAGCAAAATCAAACTCAAGAGTGTGAAATGGTTATCAGAAAAAAATCCATTATTGGGAACTGAAAGTTCAACACCATTCTCTCTCCTAGCTCCCAGATATGATTATTCTATACAGGTTTGTATGCATATGAATGAACATGTACGTATAATCTGTCCACATTTCGGGGTTTACAAAGCACTATATTTAGTGTCATTTACTTACAGAGACATAGGCGCTGCTCATTTTGGACCTATGTCACATGGGGGAGGGAGAAAGATTGGTCTACTCATGGGTTTTAAATGGGTTTTTGCTTCTTAGGGTTGTGAAGTCTTATCTAAGAGACAGCAGGACATTGAATAATAATTCATGGCATTGAATGAGGCTGCACATTGATGACTTGAAGCATTTAATGGTTTGTGGGGTGGTAGCAGGGCTTTGCACTTTTGTAAACCTTGTATTAAGCGCAGTGCCCGGTAGGGCAACATGGTGGCATGGTGTAGCTCCTTGCTGTCCATGCCTTCCAAGAAATATTGATCCTTAAGCAAATATTCTCTTTAATCCTTTAGTTACAACCCACCTAATAATCAAATGGGACCAACATGGACAGACTGCAGGGCTCTGTGTAGCAGGCACAATGTAGTATTTACAATCTTTGGTCTTTGGCATAGGTGGTGAGAAAGAATTAGGGCAAGGATTATCTCATCCAGCCTGGTGGGAGCAGGATCACCTTTGGGTGAAGAGATCAGGTTAACTCTTTGCTCTGACCTCTGTTTCTTTGCTGCTTCTGGTAAGAGTGAAAATGATTTAGAAGAGTTTGGGTAGAGTTAGGGGTGGGGCAAGAGAAAGCCTGAGATACCAAACCCAATCTATCTACCACCTTTGTTATATTTTTCCCAATGGTGCAAGCAACTGAGAGATATGTATAGCCCAGAACCCCCC